TTACAATCCTTTCTTATAAGAACAGTCCATTTATTCCTGATCTCTACTTTCTGTTATTCAACCAGTACTGATCCATAAAAAGGCCTATCCTATTATCCTTTGACTGCTACATTTGCATACAAATCTTAAAAGGGCTAGGAACACAATATTCAAAATTCATCTACATCAGGGAAATTCCTTAGACCTTTTCATGGCATCAAATATGACTCCAGAATCATAAAAGATTGATATACTGCCTTGATATACTCTTTGTTGTTATGCTGCTAACTCAGTGGTTTAGGCATCTAGCTGCGGAGCCAGAGGTTGAGGGTTTGATTCCCCACTGTGTCTCCTGCAAACAGAGCCAGCCTGTATAGCCACGGGCAAACTGCACAGACCTAGGACACCTCCAGAAGAAAGGAATGGTGAACCATTTCTGGATATTCTCTACTTAGAAAACCCTGAAAAGGATTACCATGTCAGAATTGACTTGATGGCACATTATTATACATCTATAAAGATACAGTCGTGCCTTGACTTATGACCATAATCAGTTCCAGAAGATGGTCGTAACTCAAAATGGTCGTAAGTCGAAGCACCATTTCCCATAGGAATGTATTGAAATGCAATTAATCCATTCCGGCCGAAGAAAATAATCCGTTTAGTCGGAATCCACTATGAGCTGTCTTCGGTGTCTCTGCATGGCATAGCCCATAGCTTCTCTGAATTACTCAAGCCCCTTTGTATCTACTGTCGGCCCCTCCCGATAACCGACTTGCTCAGAAAGGCAGGCTCGGACGGCCTCACGTACGACACCTGGTTCCTCTTGCTCATGGTGGCAGTGGATTTAGTCTGGTCTGCAACTTTCAAAATTTTTCAGACTGCCCCCTTCCTTCCTGTTGTTTCCTTTGTTAGCTGCCATTCCTCTCTCCTCCATTTTCTCCTCTCTGAAGAAAGTTCTGTGGACATGCAGGTCCACACAAGTATAGATGCAAGCTGTTTGCCTGTCACTGGCACATTTTGTCCATATCTGTGGTTGCTACCTACTCCGCTTTGTCCAGAGAAGGTAAGATTTAAACAAGCTTGATGAAACCATCGGTCTCTCGGACCTTCCTTCCCTCGTTAACTGGAGGCTTTCCCTCCTCCTGCTTGCTTGCAGGAATCTCTGGTGGAAGCAGTCATTCATAAGCCCCAGATTGATTGACTGCCCGGGGCTATTCTACAGCTGTAACCAATCAAGCAGCCTTATCTCCGATCTCTGAAAGAACGAATTTACAAGTGCCCATTGGTGATGCAAGTTAAGTATGATGGGAGCTGCAGTCTAAAGTATCTGGAGAGTATGAGCTTGGACAAGGCTCACTGTTGTCACTCACTGCGACTCTTACACAAGCCTCGTTGACACATCATAGATTTCTTTGTGTCCTATGGTTTCTGTAGTGAGTTCATAGGGAGCAACCAGGCTTTCCTCCTCCTTTCCACTTTCTGCTCACAACAAACCTTGATCTGGACCCTATGCTTCTGTTCATGCAGCCTAGAAGTTCATTAATCTTTCTTCTCCTTTGACTTGAAATCCACTTTTGTCCCTTGTGGACCACTCATAATCCCCGTCAGATAGGACTGCCAGTTCATCAACTAGAGACGACACTTAACAAGCCTTTGTATTCCAAGTGCTGAGAGAGAATGTAGCCTACTGCACCATTTCTTGATAGCCTTGTAGGCCCCTTCCAACTTCACTTTTCTATGATGATATCACAGATCCTATCTTTACTT